GCTGAACAAAACTATCAAAACTTTGGAAATAGAAGCCAAATAGAACAAAAACCTTGGCTATAAATATTAGAAATTATAGATATTCAACTATTTTGTACCCTAAAGGCACCAGTGAAACAGTGTGGCAAGAATGTACTCTTTGGACAACATGTCACTGTTTCCCTATTTAATCTTCTAAAGAACCTGAAACTCTTCAAAGAATCAACTGAAAGTTTGACTGGACAGTGGTGCAATAAGGGTATGTTCCAACAGAATGGGGAGGGGTAGGGAATATGCAATCAGGACAGCTGGTCTGAACACTACCTGCTTCTTTCAAATACTCATATTAACCTTCAATACCTGTCATATCGGAAAGCTGGCCAGGGACTTCCAGCCAGTAGCACAGTGGTTAAGAATTCGCCTACCAATGCAAGGTATATGGGTTCAATCCCTGGTCCGGGAAAATCCCACATACTGCAGAGCAACTAAGCCCATGTGCCACAACTACTGAGCCTGCACTCTAGAGCCCGCGAGCCACAACTATTGAGCCCATGCACCTACAGCCTATGCTCCGCAACAAGAGAAGCCACTGCAATGAAAAGCCCATGCACCACAATGAAAAGTAGCCCCTGCTCACCACAACTAGAGGAAGCCTGTGCACAGCAACAGAGACCCAATGCAGCCAAAAATAAATTTAAATAAAAAAGAAAGCTGGTCAACGTTAATCAACAAAATTTAAGCAGCTATTAAAACTGGACAAATTGGCATGCATGTAAACATTGTGTATTTCAGATATGTTTTCCAGAATTTTTTTAAGAGAAGCAAAGGCAAGATAAATTTGTGTTAAAGAAATCTCTGACCTTTCACATTATTTCCTGACAAAGGTCAGAATCGTCAGTGCAAGTCTTAGCATAAACCTCTAATTCAGTCAGCTTTGTATATAAAATAAATAAGAGTTTGTGGATTTTTAGAGAAACTTTTTTCTAAACTGAGTCACCTAGGATGAGATTCTTGAAGTGGGATGAATAAAGGTAAACAACTAATCTAATACTCACAAGCTTCCCATCCACTCTCTTCTCAGTCCCCAGTGGAGGAGCCTGGCTTTCCAACCTTACTGAGGCTCTTTGAAGTCAATCTGGGGCCCACAAATGGGGCCTGCCTCTGCCGGGGCACAGACCTGAGAAGAGGCGTTACCACTGTCAGGTCTGTCAGTGGCTCCTGTGACGGAAACTATCTTTTGGCATTCATCATATTACAATGGGGCCACAGATCAGTGATGAAAGGTACCTAATTCCCTTTCTCTGTTCATAGTTCAGCGTATTTCTAAACTGTGCATGGCTGTTTGTGAATGAAGAATCCATACAGCTTTAATGTAAAACTAATTACTAAATACATCTAGTTTACAAATAATACCCTAGCCCATAGGTTTCCATTCTTGGACACCTAAAATTCATCAACAAATACGCAATTCTATTAAACTAGACAAGGCAGTTTTAGATTTGTGTCTGGACAATGATGAGAGCACGTCTCCTGTCACAAAAGATCAATGCATGATTTTCTACTGCCCAGAGTACAGATTAAAGCACTGGAATAAGGAGCTGCTGGGCAGTCAGACAGAAAATGTACCTGCCACTGCTTCAAAATTTGTAGGGCTTAAATTCTGCAATCAAATATGTGGAAAATAACTTATATAGAGACCAGATTTCTCCTTCTTCCTTCAATAAAGAAATACACTGAAGATGTGTGCAAATTATTCGTGGATGATTTTAAATTCTGTCAAATCTAACATATATCTGAACATTACATGAGCCTAAAATTATTTTCAGGATAGATTCCCCATTGACACTATCCAAACTGTATGTGACAGAAAGTATGCTCAAATAACATTCTTACAAATGAAAAGTAGGGGTCTTTTGGGGGGGTTGTTTTTTTTTCACCTTCCATAGTTCAATGGCCACAGGCTGACGTGGTGGACTGTCACAGTATATATCATCCACAGTTTTTTTCCAAAACTGCATTCTCATCAGTCCAATTGTTTTCTCAGAGACAGAGTCCTTAACCTGTAAATAGTGTTTAAAAACTTTAATAAATGCACTGTTCACAGTCTCAAAAACCAGCATTTGTGTAACTGCATAATCATATAATTCAGCCAAAAATTAAGTTTCTCTACATTTAATTTTTCCTTGAAGTTATGTATCATTTAAATTATCATCATTATGAGTTTCCTAAGTAACAGCTACAAATTATTTGGTGCTTATTCAAAAATATTTTCAAGGTCTGTATTCAAAAATAGGCGCAGTTCTTCTGGAAAAAAATTGCAAGAAAAAACAAAGAGAGGGAGGGGGATCATTTCGTTTAAAAGAAATTTAAGAAAGAGATCAACCAGTCACATGTAGACCTATTTGAATCCTAATTTAAGGAGACAGAGACAACTAGGAAAATCTGAACACCAGACATTTAATGATATTAAGAACTTATTCAATTTTTAATATATAATAATGGTATTGTGGTTATTTTTTTAAGTGAGTTCTTTTAGAGATGCAAACTGAAATATCTGCAGATGGAAAAATTTGAGACTTACTTCAAAATAACCTGGAGGTGGGGATGAGGGGGGTGGGGAGTAAAGATGAGAAAACAAGATTGGCCATGAGTTAGTAACAGTTGGAGGTGGGTGATGAGGTATATGGGGGTTCATTATGCTTCTCTCTCTACATATGAATATACTTTATGCTGTATACGACTGAAGTTTTCCAAAACAAAGTTTTTCAATAATAAGTGGAAGAGAAGAAAAACAATTCTCACTGGATTAGTGACAGTCAAAATATTTTTGAGTCTGAAGATAAACCTAGGAAATAGAACCAGAGGCTTTTTAGAGGAAGCAGAGAAGGAACTAATATTTATTCATCAAATGTCAACAAGTAGGGCTTCCCTGGTGGCAGTGGTTGAGTCACTGGATTAGTGACAGTCAAAATATTTTTGAGTCTGAAGATAAACCTAGGAAATAGAACCAGAGGCTTTTTAGAGGAAGCAGAGAAGGAACTAATATTTATTCATCAAATGTCAACAAGTAGGGCTTCCCTGGTGGCGCAGTGGTTGAGAGTCCGCCTGCCGATGCAGGGGACACGGGTTCGTGCCCCGGTCCGGGAAGATCCCACATGCCGCGGAGCGGCTGGGCCCGTGAGCCATGGCTGCTGAGCCGGCGCGTCCGGGGCCTGTGCTCCGCAACGGAAGAGGCCACAACAGTGAGAGGCCCGCGTACCGCAAAAAAAAAAATGTCAACAAGTACCAGGTACTGTAGCAGAGGTTATCTGATCACAATCCTCACAACAAACTCACAGGGTCCTTACGAATACACCCATTTTACAAACACAGAAATTATAGCTCAAAAAGGTAGAAGTTTATCCCATGCTCTGCATACTCACAGTTCTTATAATGGAACCAGAAGGATATGTAAAAGATTATGGGAGAGGGGAGGGGTTGACTACAAAGGGACACATAAGGGTTGATGGAATTGCTCTGTATCACGACTCTGGTGGTAAATACGTGACTCTAAGTAGCTCTCAAAACCTATAGGACTGTACACCACAAAAAGTGAATTTTACTGTGGTACATTTAAATAAACTCATTTATTTATTCACTGAGTAACTTTTTTAAAGAAGATTATTAGACTCTCTCCCTCACTTACTACTGATTAAGAATGGCGCTGGGTCAAGCAAGAATCACCAATGCATGCTAAATCTAGGAGGTAAATTTTTTATTTTTAATTGAGCTATAATTGACATATAACAGTATCTTAGTTTCAAGTGTACAACATGATTTGTATATGTATGTATATATTGTGAAATGATCACCATAGGTCTAGTTACTATCTATCACCACACATAATTAGGAATTTGTGTATGTTGAGAACTTTCAAGATCTACTCTATTAGCAACTTTCAAACACATAATACAGTAACAGCTGTACATTACATTCCCATGACTTATTTACTTATAACTGGAAGTTTCTACCTTTTGACCACCCTCACCCATTTCACCCATCTCCCACCCACTGCCTCTGACAACCAGCAATCTGTTCTCTGTATCTATGAGTTTGGGGTACTTTTTGTTTTGCTTTTGTTTTTGTTTTAGATTCCACATATACGTGAGATGATATGGTATTTGCCTTTCTCTAACTTATTTCACTTAGCATAAAGCCCTCAAGGTCCATCTGTGTTGTCACAAATGGCAAGATTTCCTTCTTTTTTATGTCTAAGTAATATTCCATTGTGTAGATATACCACATCTTTATCCAGTCATCCACCAATGGACACTTAGGTGGCTTCCATGTCTTGGCTATTGTAAATAATGTTGCAATGAACCAGGGGGTGCATGTATCTTTTCAAGTTAATATTTTCATTTCCTTTGGATAAACACCCAGAAATGAAATTACTGGATTATATGGTAGTTCTAGTTTTAGTTTTCTGAGGCACCTCCATGCTGTTTTCCACAGTGGTTGCACCTATTTACACTCCCACCAACAGTGCACAAGGGCTCCCTTTTCTCCACACACTATAAAACACTTGTTATTTCTTGTCTCTTTGATAACAGCTATCCTAATAGGTGTGAGGGGATATGTCATTGTGGTTCTAATTTGTACTTCTCTGATATTAGTGATGTTGAGCATATTTTCATATACCTATTTGCCAAATATGAGGTAAATTTTGATGAGGACCATGGTCTTAAAATGTTTCCTTATATTTAACAAGGAAAAAAATGTTAACATCTTGACTAGTGACCAAAATTGGTATCGCCAATAAGAGGCATACAGACATGTAATGCCTCCTTGTGATTCCCTGAGAAGGACATATACCATTTAGGTAGTTAAGCATTAGACTAGATATATATAAATATAATCATGACAAAAAATAAACTCCAAATGAGAAATACTCAATTTTTGAAAAGGAACAATATTGTTTTTAAAATGTCAATGTAATAATAGAAGAAAGGCTGTGGAAATGTTCCAGATTAAAGGAGGCCAAAGAGACATGAAAACTACATGCAATACATTACCCTAGATTGGATCCTGTACAGAAGGGTTAAAAAATGCCATAAAGGACATCACTGAAATCATCTGACAAAACTGGAAACCAGAAGGTAGATTAAATAAATGTACTGTATCAATCTCAAATTTACTCAAACTGATAACTGTTATGTAAGAGAATATTCTTACGGTAATGAAATACAGCTCAAGTTTACAGGGATAAGGGCCATGGTGTAGTCAAGTTACTGTAAAATGATTCATAAGAAAAACAGTGCATGTATGTGTGTGCACATTTGTGTGTGTGTGTATACACAGAGAGAGAGGGAGAGAGAGAGGGAGAAGGGGAGAGGGGCACAATATGATAAAGTAAATAGGGCAAAATATTAACGAAAGGGTATATGGGGTTTTGTACTATTCTTACTTTGGTGTGTGTGAAATTATTTCCAAATAAAAAGTTTTGTTTTGTTTTGTTTTTATGGTCTTGGTGCTGGGTGGGTCTCTTAGCAATGCTTAGTGTTCAGATCCCATGGCATATGGTCTATTCTCAATACAGCATCAAGAGTAATCCTTTAAAGAAGATGTGGCATATACATATATATATATATATATATATATATATATATGGATAAACACACACAGAGTGAAAGTGAGGGAATGGAAAAATGTATTTCATGCAAACAGAAACGACAAGAAATCAGGAGTAGCAATATGCATATCAGACAAAATAGACTTTAAAACAAAGGCTATAACAAAAGAAAAAGAAGAGCACTGTATAATGATAAAGGAATCAATACAGCAAGAGGATATAACATTCATTATCATATATGCACGTAATATAGGAACATCTAAATACATAAAGCAAACATCAACAGACATAAAGTGAGAAACTGACATAAACAAAGTAATAGTATAAGACTTTAACACCCCATTTACATCAAAGGACAGACAATCCAGAAAGAAAATCAATGAGTAAACAATGGTCTTAAATGACACATTAGTCCAGTTAGAATTAATAGATATCTACAGGACATTCCATACAAAAACAGAATACAAATTCTTTTCAAGTGCACATGGAACATTCTCTAGGACAGATCACATGCTAGGCCACAAAACAAGTCTAAAAAAATTTAAGAGGATAGAAATTATATCAAGCATCTTTTCTGACCACAATAGTATGAAACTAGAGATCTATCACAGGAAGAAAAATGTGAAAAACACTAACACATGGAGACTAAAAAAACCAATGGGTCAATGAAGAAATCAAAGAGGAAATCAGAAAATACCTCAGGACAAATGAAAATAAAAGCACAACTTTCCAAAATCTATAGGATACACAAAGAAGTTCTAAAAGGAAAGTTTACAGTGATACAGGCCCATCTCAAGAAACAAGAAAAATCTCAAATAAACAACCTAACCTACCATCTAAAGGAATTAGAAAAAGAAGAACAAACGAAGCCCAAAGTCAGCAGAAGGAAAGAAATAATAAAGATCAGAGCAGAAACAAATAAAATAGGGGAAAAAGAAGAAAAAAGATCAATGAAACCAAGAGCTGGTTTTTTGAAAAGATAAACAAAATTGATAAGCCCTTAGCCAAGCTCATTAAGAAAAAGAGAGAGAACCCAAATAAACAAAGTAAGAAATAAAAGGGAAGAAATTACAACTGATATCACAGATACAAAAAAATCAGAAGGGAAAACTATGAACAGTTATATGCCAATAAGTTGGACAATCTAGAAGAAATGGATAAATTCCTAGAAACTACAATCTTCTGAAACTAGACCAAAAGAAATAGATAATCTGAACAGACAGATCACTAGTAATGAAATTGAATCAGTAACCAAAAAACTCCCAGCAAACCGAAGTCCAGGACTGGACAGCTTCACAGGGGAATTCAACCAAATGCACAAAGAGGAACTAATACCTATCCTTCTCAAACTACTCCAAAGTATTGAAGAGGAGGGAAGATTCCCAATTATGAGGCCACCATTACCCTGATACCAAAACTAGACAAAGACACTACAGAAAAAGAAAATTATAGGCCAATATATCTAAATGAATGTAGATGTAAAAATCTTCAACAAAATATTAGCAAACCAAACTCAACAATATGTAAAAAGGATCATACACCATGGCCAAGCGGGATTTACTAAAATGATGAAAGGATGGTTCAATATCCACAAATCAATTAATGTGATACACCATATTAATAAAACAAAGGATAAAAATCACATGATTATCTCAATAGACTCAGAAAAAAACATCTGACAAAATTCAACATTCATGCATTCATGATAAAAACTCTCATCGAAGTTGGTATAGAGGAAACATCTCAACATAATAAAGGCCAATAAGACAACCCCATAGTTAACATTATACTCAATGGTGAGAAGTTTCTTCTCTAAAATCAGGAACAAGACAAGGATACCTACTCTCACCACTTCTATTTAATATGGTATTGAAAGTCCTAGCCACAGCAATTAGACAAGAAAAAGAAATAAAAAGCATCCAAATTGGAAGGTAAGAAGTAAAACTGTCACTATTTGCAGATGACATGATACTATATAAAGAAAACCCTAAAGTCTCCACCAAAAAACTATTAGAACTAAGAAATGAAGTCAATAAAGTTACAGGATATAAAATTAATATACAGAAATTTTTTGCCTTTCTAATACACCAATAATGAACTACAGGAAAGAAAAAGCAAAAAAACAATCCAGTTTAAAATCACATCAGAAAGAATAAAATCCTAGGAATAAATTTAACCAAGGAGGTGAGAGACCTATACTCTGAAAACTAAAAAATACTGATGAAGAAAACTGAAGATAATACAAAGAAATGGAAAGATATCCCATGTCCATGGATTGGAAGAATTAATATTGTTAAAATGTCAATACTACCCAAAGCAATCTATAGATTTAATGTAAGCCCTATAAAAATACCCATGACATTTTTCACAGAACTAGAACATATAATCCTAAAATTTATATGGAACCACAAAAGACCCTGAACAGCTGAAGCAATCTTGATAAAAAAGCATAAAGCTGGAGATACCACACTCCTTGATTTCAGACTACACTACAAAGGCACAGTGATCAAAACAGTATGGTACTGGCATTAAAACAGACACATAGATCAATGGAACAGAATAGAGAGCCCAGAAATAAACCCATGCATTTATGGTCAATTAATCTTTGACAAAAGAGGCAAAAATATACAATGGGGAAAGACAATCTCTTCAATAAGTGGTGCTGAGAAAACTGGACAGCTACATGTAAAAGAATGAAATTAGAACATTTTCTCACACTGTATATGAAAATAAACTCAAAATGGATTAAAGACCTAAATGTAAGACTGGACACCATAAAACTCCTAGAAGATAGGGAGACCACCCTCTGACCTATGTCATAGGAATATTTTTTTGGATCTTTCTCCTCAGGCAAAGAAAACAAAGGCAAAAATAAACAAATGGGGCCTAATTAAACTTAAAAGCTTTTGCACAGCAAAAGAAACCATTAACAAAGTGGAAAGGTTACCTACTGAATGGGAGAAAACATTTGCAAATATTTGCAAATGGTACGTCTGTTGAGGGGTTAATATCCAAAATATATAAAAAGCTCATACAACTCGATATCAAAAAAACAAACAATGCAATTAAAAAATGGGCAGATGACCTGAATAGACACTTTTCCAAAGAAGATATACAGATGGCCAAGAAGTACATGCAAAAATTCTGAACATCACTAAGCATCAGGGAAATGCACATCAAAACCAAAATGAGATATCACCTCACATCTGTCAGAATAGCTGTCATGGAAAAGACCACAAATTAAGAAATGTTGGCATGGATGTAGAGAAAAGGGAGCTCTAGTACACTGTTGGTGGGAATGTAAATTGGTGTACCCACTGTGAAAGCAGTATGGAGGTTCCTCAAAAAACTAAAAATTGAACTACCATATGATTCAGCAACTCCAGTCCTGGATATATATCCAAATTAATCAAAAATAATGTACCTTATCACTTGCCTGTAGAATCTAAAAAATACACAATGAATAAACATAAAACAACAAAAAAAGAGAAGCAGACTCACAGATACAGAGAACAAAGTAGTGGCTACCAGTGGGAAGAGGGATGAGGGGAGAGACAAGATAGGGATAAGGGATTAAGAAGTACAAACTATTATGTATAAAATAAATAAGATACAAGGATATACTGTACAGCACAGGGAATACAAACAATACTTTGTAATAACTTCAAATGGAGTATAATCTATCAAAAATATTGAACCATGGTTGTACACATGAAACTAATATTGTAAATCAACTATACTTTAATAAAATTTTTTTTTTTTTTTGCGGTACGCGGGCCTCTCACTGCTATGGCCTCTCCCGTTGCGGATGCGCAGGCTCAGCGGCCACGGCTCACGGGCCCAGCCGCTCCACGGCATGTGGGATCCCCCCAGACCAGGGCACGAACCCGTGTCCCCTGCATCAACAGGCGGACTCTCAACCACTGCACCACCAGGGAAGCCAAAAAAAAAAATTTTTTTTAAAAGGTAATCCTTTAGAAACATGACAAAGATGTGATGTCTTTCTCTGCTCAGAACCTTCCAATGGTTTTCCATCTCACTCAGAGTAAATGCCAAAGTGACTGAAGTGGTCTCCAAGACCTTACTTTTCTGGCCCAGATACCTCTAACCTAATCTCCTCCCACACTCTCCCTCCTTTCTGTGTTGTGCCACACTGGCCTTCTTGTCTTTGAATATGTCAGGCACACTTACATCTCAGGGCCTTTGCACTTGCTGCTCCTTCTGTCTAGAAGACTCTTCAGCCATATATCTCACTCCCTTGCCTCCTTCAAATCTTTGCTAAAATGCCACCATCTCAGTGAGGTTTTTCCTGATCACCCTACTTAAAACAGGAACCCCTGCTACACCTAGCCTTCCCTATCCTCCTTAATTTTTCTGTACAGTATTTACTTGTTTCTTGAATACAGGGACTTTGTATGTTTTATTCAATGCTATAACCCGGTACCTAAAATAGTGCCTAGCATATTTTGGACAATACTTGTTGAATGAATGAATGAACAAGACTGTGTGTACAAAAAAGCAGTAAGACAGACAGCCATCAGGAGACGGAACTGGCATCTTGTGCAGGGCAGTGGGACCAAGGGGCAGCCAGGTGGACACTGCCTGGAGTGGCACACAGGTGCAAGGCTACCTGCACAGTTGAATTTATTTAAATTAAAAAAAAAAAAAAAAAAAAACAAGACATTCCTATAAGGTGACAGAGAATCAGGGAAAATATAAAAAAAAAAAAAAAAAAAAAAAAAGCAAGACATTCCTATAAGGTGACAGAGAATCAGGGAAAATATGGAAGATTTATTTATTAAAAATGGAATTTTAATTATTTTAAAGTTATAATGGAAGATCACATTGGGTACTATTTATCGTTAAATTGTGACTGACTTAAGATGCTGAAGTACAGTTTATACCTGAAAAAGGATGAAGTAAAAAAATATAGACCCATGACTTCTAGAAATACACCAAGGACAAACAGCCAGACTCTGTTACTCTCTGCAGATTTATACTGTTTAGCCACAATTATGCCTCAGTCCTATACTCACATCCTTTCATGTGCTCCTACTTCATGTCCTATCATATTCACCAGAGAGGCTGTGTCAAAACTTGTCATACTCTTGAAGACTCCAAACCCTCCCATGCTCCCTCACTCTCAATAACCAACCTCTCCATTTCATTTACTGAGAAGATCAATGCAATTCTATCTCAACTCCCTCATTTACATTCTCCATTTCAATTTACTTATATCAGTACACATTCTTTCCAGTCTAAGAAAAAGAAGAGTCGCTCCTTTGTTTGTAATTCTTTAGAAAAAAGTGAGTTAGTATGATATAAGGTCTGGGTTTGCTATAATTGCTTCAATTTCCATTTCACTTTAAAGCTAAAAACTCAATTTAAAAAGTGCTTTGAAGAACTGCTATATACATGTAAATTATGCAAATGTTGTAAAGAATAAGCAGTAATACTCTGATTAACCTATTCAATTAACAGACAAATGTGCAATGTTAATTGCATAGTTTTATAATATCCTTAAAAAAAGAAATTCCAGGATGGTCTTTCCAAAAACATTAAGTTCATTAGCTAGTTTTACTTTTGGAATTAAATTGTTAAGGAGAAAGAAATCACCAGCAGAAAACTTAAACACATCTAACATATAAATTACTACTATATTTCTTTATTGTTCAGCATTAAACATATTACATCACTATTTTTACAAATAATTTTTAAGGTATTTTAATACCAGCCTGAGCCAGTTCCACATTGAAAGCTCTCAGTGCAAAAGCAGAGCTTCTGGATTCTGCAGGGAGTAGCAGGGAGCATAAATAGCCTTCATAATCTCGTTTCCTATAATAAATAAGCAAAAAAAGTTAATTACTTTTCACTTTCCAAACTACACACAAAAAAATACTGACCAAAATGAACCGAAAACAAGGCTTCAACTCAAAATAGCCCCCAAGTTTCCTATATTTTATATCTGTTTCTCTACAATTATAAAAATTTTATCTGCTTCCAATCCCAGACCAGTTAAAATGAATAATCAATCTCTATTAATTTATTCTGACTTATATAATATGTATATATAATTTTAACTGCTTCAGAATCACTTTGGTTTTAGTAAGAATTCAAATGAGTTACAGATGTAGAAATCAAGACAACAGTGCCAGCAAGTATTGGTATGAACTCACGGTTTTGAATGCATAGATAAATATATACATAAGACAAAGACAGAGAACAATATGGGGGGTGTGTGGGAGGGTGCACCTGTGTGTATGCGCACACACTCACACTTACTTCTATTTCCCTACAGCATCTGCTGACAAAGCCTAGAAACAATGATATCCGCCCCCATACCCTGAGTATCAGTGAACACACCTTGATTTCTCCACTGAAAGAAACTAAGGCTCCTTGAAGGAAGGACTGTCTCCAGGGCTGGTGGAAGGAAAATACCAAATAAGCCTGAAACATCTTCTTGAGCAGAAAGTAAACAAATGTTCAAAGAATGGAGTGACTTGTTAAAAGGACAAAGAAATTGTCTTGATGAAGTTCTATTGGCCAAGTCTGGGACAATTTGAGCATCAAAAAAATAATGACAGTAAAAGATTGTAACAGGACCCCATGAGCTCATACCAATATAAATGAACGAATAAATGCAAAGAGAAGGAAAACTTTGACAACCAGTACAAGGCCAACTGATAAACCTAGAAGACATGATTGAATTTTTTAAATCACCACTTGATAACTACCAAAGTAAAAAGTGATTCAAGCAAATATCAATAAATGTCTGAAAATGTTAAACAGGTGAAAGTTTGATAGAAAAAGAATATTTACATAGTATTAAAGTATCTCCTCACAAAATAAATATTATTTGCTAACATTCTTATTAATTTACAAGGGAGAAACCTGAAAGACACTTGAGCACCAAGTAACAAAAAGTTCACTCCACAGTAATAGGATAAATCAACACCATGTGCTTTCTGACATGATACTGAGAAAAGCACAGCATAACTTCTGTAATATTCCTGCAAAAATTGTGTAAATCATAAGTAAACATTAAATAAACCCAAACTGAAAGTCTACAAAGTTGCCTGCCCTGTTCTCTTAAAAAAAAAAAAAGTCAAGTTCATGAAAGATAAGGACTGAGAAGCTGTTCCAGATTGGAGAAGACTAAAGACACGTGACAACTAAATGCAGCACGTGATCCTGGATACACAGAAAGACATAACAGACTAATTAGCAAAACGTCAATGGAGTCTGTGGATTAGATGGTAATACTGGATCAATTTTAGTATCCTGATTTTGATGGTTATACTATGGTTATATAGGAGAGAATCCTTGTGTATTAAAAACACACACCAAAATAATAAGGGGGGTAATGGGGCATCTACATCTTATTCTCAAGTGGTTCAAAACGTTAACAGTGAGGGAATTTGGGTGAAGAGTACGTTGGAGCTCTGTGTACTATTTCTGTAACTTTTATGTGAATTTGAAATTACTTTAAAATGAAAAGTTAAAAAAATATAATCCTTACTATATTTATTCTAGGATGACTTAAGTATAAAGTACTTACCAGGGCTTCCCTGGTGGCACAGTGGTTAAGAATCTGCCTGCCAATGCAGGTGACACGGGTTCGAGCCCTGGTCCAGGAAGATCCCACATGCCGCGGAGCAACTAAGCCCGTGCACCACCACTACTGAGCCTGCGCTCTAGAGCCCATGAGCCACAGCTACTGAAGCCCATGTGCCACAACTACTGAAGCCCGCGTGCCTAGAGCCGGTGCTCTGCAACAAGAGAGGCCACTGCAATGAGATGCCAGAGCACCACAACGAAGAGCAGCCCCCGCTCACAACTAGAGAAAAGCTTGTGTGCAGCAATGAAGACCCAGCACAGCCATACATACATACATACATACATAAATAAATATAAAGTGCTTACCAGACTGCCTATTGACAAGGCTACTTTCACTGTAATACACTGGAACCTTAATATATCAGTATTTCCTATAAAACAGTACTCAGTATAAAATGGGTCCAACCTCATTCCATGGAGTTTAGGTTTGAAAATCAGACTACTCCCACTTTTCAATTGGTTCACACTCTGTCGTGTGGCTAACAGAGAACTTAAACCTTCACAATTCCCCCAACTTCCACATAAACAAAAGGGAGAGATCATCAATAGATAGCAGTAACCTTGTTATCACAAGACAACTCTACTAAAAAATCTCACCATATGCGGTTTCAGCTATAATATGGAGAGTTCAGACAAAACTTTATAGCTTATACTTGTAAATATATATAGATGTAAACATTTCTAAATTTTATTATAAACAGTCTCTAAACTTCAAGTGTTTAAAACACGTGAAAGTTAATATGAGACAGTAAGAAAACACTGAATAGGAATCAAACTACAATCTTAATTTCCATCATTCAACTAGTTACTGACAGAAATGATACCAGTCATGTCTACTTCCTAACTTGAAAAATGAGGCTTGATATTCTACCTGTTTCATATCTCCTTAAAAATAACCAACATGGGAAGTACTTCAAGTGTCTTACACGAAAATGAAAAATGAAATGAAGACATAACAGAACTGTAACAGTCTCTGGGAAATAAGATATTCTACAAAGCTAATGGTTTGCCCTGTTAACGATTTTTAAAATACTTTGGAAATTTTTCTAAACAATATTACCCTCTTCTTTACATTAAATAGGATATACTATTTAACCATTTCTTCATCAATCAGGATCATTGTTATCAACGTTGATTATTGGTATACAAGGATAACCTATAAATAGCTAACCAAGGTCCAGTTACCTAAGAACTGTTCCAGATAATGAGAAATGCTATGCTATGATGGCTTTATACAGCAGCAGGGTCAAAAACCTTTCATTCATTCATTTATTCAGTGCCTAGGACGTGCCAGGCACTGTGCTAGACACTGAAGATAGGTATAGACTTCAGTCTAGCAGGGAGAGACAGACATATGAGAAGTAAGCATATCTAGTGCTAGGACTGCTATGCTAATTCCATGGACCTGTGCCACTGAAGCACAAAAGAAGTGGTTCCTCAGTGAGGCTGGAGAACTGCGCTTCCAGCTATGACCACTGCCACCTCCTCATCTTATTATAACACTAATCCCAAGGCCTGAGGCGGTGTTCCTCAAACCAAACCCCAAGAAGCCTATGTAAATTAGGCTTGAGATTTTCCCAGGAACCTTGACTCCTAGAAGAATCTTCTAGGAAGATTCTTAGGCTGGCTAATCTGAAGTTATAGCCTAGTATCTTGTCTGATATTTGGAGGCCTTGCATAGGATACATGTCCAAAACAACCCTGCACACACAATTTCGGAGGCCAAATCTTGCAAAGATTAATGGACAATTAGAAGCTAAAAGTTCTAATCTTCCTTTCAAGTTCATTTTGTTTTTATTTTAAACTATTTATTGAGCATTTGTTATGTACCAGCATTTTTATATACATCTTGTAATTTAATCCTCACAACCATGTTACAAAGTAGAAGCAGAAATCTACAAATGAGGAAATAGCTGAATCTTAAAGTAATTAACTTTCCCAAGTGGCAGAGCTAGGATTAATAAACTCAGATAAGGTCTGCCTGCTGCCTGCTTTTTGATAAATCGCTAGAGTCAACAGCCTCCATTCCACTTAAATACCAATATGGACAGATTAAGTATCTGGCCATTTATAAATATATATTCGAGAAAAGCTGTTATGTGATATCCACAGACTATTTCTAAAAGAATATATAAGAAATTAGTAAGAGTGATTCAACCCTGGATAGGAAAGTTAGGATACCACTGGTGTCAAAGAAAAATTGCACTGAACGAGTGGATATGGATGGTATACGTTTTGGTAACTTAAATGTCTTATCATCAAAAAATGATAACTTAAAAATTATATAGATGAATATAATCTTTTTGGCTTTTACAATTCTTAATGACCCGATTTCCACTAATGCTACCTTGTTTCTCCTACAAGCAATCAACAAGTAAATAAGGTGGGGTAGGAACACTATTTTAAAAAGTGATTAAAAACGAAACAAAGTACTGAAATGCATGGGAATGTTGTCGTTATGCTACATTTTGCTACAATGGAATTCCAAAAAATTGGATATACTAGCCCTATCAAATTCAAGATAGTTTAACTATTCTAGCACTTCTCAGAAGTCCTTGAGACCAGGTACTTTGAGACTTTTTGCCACTGTTACGAATTAAGGGCAGCAAAAGGGCAGCGGGGGCGGGGCCGGGGCCGGGGGGTGGTGGTGGTAAGCCATTCACTCCTGAAGTCAGGCCTGGATTCCAAGGCAGGCCCCTACCCACATGTACCAGGTAACCTGATTCATCCAATTTATCCCGCAAATGATTAACAGCGACTGCTATGTGCTATACCTTTCGCGTGTTACCAGAATAGCTGACTTTATGAGGCTTAGATTACACTGAACTCAGGTAAATTCCATAATCTCTCTAAACCTTCATTTCCATGTCTGCTAGATGAGATAATAAAGTTTATACCGTACTCACTGTACCCCTGCTTTGTGCCAGGCATTGTTCTAAATGCTCTAATCCACATAACTGTAAGTGGTAGGTCTACAACTGTTCCCTCATACCTTGTAACGAAAATTAGATAATTTACTTGTAAACTACTTTGCATAGTGCCTGACACATAGGAAGAACTCAAAGTTAACTACTGCTTAATTAAAATTAGTTACCAGCCATGTTTCGAATTTTAAAAAGCTATTCATGCAAAGCGTTTAATTAGGTAAAGTTAAGGCTCGGGCAAGGTGACACACGAAGGAATTTTGCCACAAATTTGTGACCAATGTGAAAGCTCCTGTTGCCTCACTCCCCCATACACCCGAGCTCACACGCTGAGGGACACTGGGAAGGTGCAGGTCCGCCCCGAGGCCCGCCGCGCCCACCAGGGTCCCTTTCGGCCTGCTCCCCGACCTCCCGGCCGGGGGCAGTCCGGCTCGCTCACCGCAGCAGCTCCAAGCAGTAGCGGTCAGTGCCCGAGGCGCCAGGTCCGCTGACCGCGGCCACGCTCCGCCCGGACCCCGCGGGCTCCGGGAGCCGCCATGCGTGCGCCCACAGGCCCCTGGGCTGCCGGCAGCGGCACAGGCCGGGGACGCCGGGCCGTAGCGGGCCGCACGCCGACACCAGCGTGGAGGCCGCCATGACAGGGACGCCGCCGTGCCCTTCGACCTCGCGCTGTTAGCGCGCGGACACGCCTCTCCTCGCCCAGCCACGCTACGCCCCCGGCAGCTCTGTCTGCGCACCTCTTAGCGGCGAGAAGGAGACCGCTGGGCGCCCCTCGGAGATGAGACAGGTGTCGCTGTGGTCCCCTGCATCTGCGCCGCCGCCGCCGCGCTCCTCGGCCTTATAGGTTCCAGGAAAGCCCCGCCTAAATTCGACGGATCTCGCCCGGGCTCTCCCCCTTCCTTCCAGGTCCTTCTGAAGATGTATTGATATTCATCGAGACATTAGGAAAGAGAATAATTTGACAGTTTACTAGCTTGATTTATAACTTTTAAACCTTTATTCACATGGTATATGAGCCTCTTTTGGCACTCTTACCATCAGGCCCCTCAAATATTATAGTTGGGTCTAGTTGCCACGACCTGACTTGGTCCAAGCCAGCAGCTGCCTACATCTGGATCCCAGTAACACCTCCTGCCTCCAGATTTGACCAGATTTTTCGCGCTGCAGCCACACTTGTCCTTTCTAAAGGGTGCCTCTGATCATGACCCCTCCCTGCTTGACCAGTTTCACTGCTTGTTGGATAAAGCTCCTCCACGATAGTAGCCTCTTTTTACCTTTCAGCCTCAACCCTAGCTATCTGCATTTGTGACTCCCTTTTAATGTTTCTCCTTAAACCCATGGGAGAGTACTCTGTTGTCTGGACCTAAGAACTCCAGCCAATTCACCCTGCTTTGGTTTTACTCCCTGACACTGGCTCTCTTCAGCCTATGCAGGACCTCAGTCCCTCCTGCATAATATTCTCTTTTCTCTCTGGGCTTCTGTCCTTTAGTTCTGACACACACTAGTGTTTCTGATACCAAAGTTTAATAAACCTGCTCAATTAAAAAAAAATCACATCTACATCTCTAGTTCTGGTCTCCTGCCTAGCTGGACTTTTCCATCTCCACATCTTGCCATTACTTCAAAGTATATGTCTAGAAACCAAATTAAACTAACTCCTCCTCTTAGTCTTTTTATCTGGACAGTGTCCCCCTTCTCACAACCAGGGGAAACACTTTGGAGTCACCATTACCTCTTCCTGCTTCTATATCTAATGTTATCTAACTTGTCAGGTCCTGTCAATTCTTTTATCTTCATATACTCACATCCATGGCAGCATAACTTGTGCAAAACTACCTGGATTCAGATCCTGGTTCTACCTCCTACTATCACTGTGACCTTGGGTGACAGACTTACCTTTTCTTGTGCTTTAGATCCCTCCCCTGTGAAATGGTAATAGTAATAGAACCTGCCTCATAAAGTTCTTGTGAGAATTAAATGAGTTAATATCTTCAAGGCATCTAGGGCAATGCCTGGCCTATAAATAGCACTCAAAACAAGTCATCTGTGTAGGGA